AATGCAAGTGCTCTGTCATTGCAAAAGGCTGCTGCAGCAATTGCAATGACAGGATTAATACTGACTGGTCCAAGTGAAGCTTTGGAGCAAAGGTGGGGTACAGAGAAAAATCACAATTTGCATTTTCTGAAACCTTTTTTGTGGCTTGCTATTTAGGAAATTAAAAATATCGATTGGGGTGTTGTCTAAATTTAGTGAAACCTTGATACTTTTCATATTTGATTGGACTAGAAATGAAAGGACAACTGGCACAATCACATTTGTCCAGGGTGTAGACCTCAAAGGATGAGCCAAAACAAAGTGCTCCCTGCAGATACATAAGGATCTGCCACCTCCTGTTTCTAGCGTGGACAATATAACGACGGAAATAATTAGTTAATCTTTTGTTTAAATAACGCGTTTGGGAAAAAGGCTAAAAATAAACACTGATTCATTCCTTGTCAGGGAAGTTTCTCCTGTCAATTATCACATTGTTACTGCTGTTTTTAATCTAGTCAGATGGTGAGATTGGCAATCCCTTCTGCAGGGGCTTCTGGGTGTTATTTTGTAGAGAATCTTGCTTGAAGGACTGATTACTGCTTTTATGGGAGCCAGTGGGAGTTTGGCCACAGTCCTTCACGCATGTTAATTTGAGGGACTTCCAAATGTTAGCTAATGATCTCAGAGTTCTTTTTATGAAAAATGTGTGGGTTTGTTTTGGGGTTTGGGTTTGTTTTTTTGTGTTGGCTTTTTTTTTTTTTTTTTTTTTTTAATGCTAGGGCCAAAGCCGGAGCTCTCGTTTCCTCACTTGCAGTTTGGGAGATTTCGCCACCCTCCTTTTGCTCATCCCCTTTTCCACAATCAAAGAGCATAAAGCAACAAAATGCCTTCTACCGAGCAAAAGACAAACAAAGAAATGCAACCATCCAAAACCCAAGACAGTGCATCTGGCTTGGGATGAATACTGGACCTCGTTAGCTGGGAGTGAGGATTTTTCAGAAAGCCAGCCTCCAGTCAAAAATGGACCCTGTCATTCGGAGCCTGAATATGAAAACAGCTTGCAAAACATTTTTTCAGGCTCCTAACAAAAGAGTTGGTCCTTCTTTTGCTCTGGTATCTAGGCTACATTGTGCAGGCTCATGCATATCACTAGTTTTATTCACATGAGTAATTCCATTTGAATTTGGAGCAACAATGTGTATGTGTAAAGTTACTCATATGCTTTCTGTCTCCTTTATATATTGAAATTATGTGGGTTTGGTTTTTTTCCATCTGATGGTGCAGCCCAGTAACTGTTGGCATCAAGGTTATTGTGAACCATCACGGTTATTATTACTGTTTGCCCGCCTGACACCTTTGTTTTCCTTGCCAGACTAAAACCCAGCTATTCCTCTCTATGCAATCTATTCCAGCTATGCAATTGTATCATCTGTTTTTATGCAACCATCTTTCACCTGACTGTGTAAATTCATCTTCCCTATAAAAGATCCTTTTTGTACTCAGTTTTTCCTCTAGTCATTACTGACAGTCTTTCCAGTTGTGCCATCCGATTCTTTCTCACGCAAGTCTCTCATGACTTCTCCCATACCGTGTAATCTAAATTCATACTGATTCTAACATGATATCTGGATGTTTTAATATTTGCCAGCTGGAGCATTTTATTATTCTCATTGCCAAATGCTCTCTCTTTCCTCCCTCATATTTCTTCAAGCTACAGCTTCTGCTATACTCATAAAACCTTGTATGTCTTCTCTATCCCATTGCTCCATGTTCATCCAAGGGCCAAATGTCTTGGGGACAAGAAAAATGCATTGTCTATCTTCCATGAAGTGTGGCATTAAGCTGTAAGTGTGGCTGCGTGTTTTATTAGATGTTCCTTTTCCTCAGTCAGGGGGTATAAAACCCAAATACGTAAAATTCAGTGGGTGCTTTTTTGTTTTTTTTTTAATGGAAGTTAATAGCTTTTCACTGATACACTCTCAGCTGTCAGGTGTATACTATAGTACTCTAATTCACACCTGAGGAGAGTAGGCAGACTGGGCAGCCACTGACTCCTTTGTCAACCAGAGCCTTTCTTCCTAACCTAGAAAATTTTGTGAATTAGCACGAGTAGAGTCTCCCTTAGGAAAGGAAGTATTTTGAAGTTGCTTCAGCAGTGGTCATGAGCTGTCAAGAAGATGCATTCAGTCACACCTAAGTACAGATTTATTACACTGAATCTCCAGGATATCTACCTACTGTATCTTGAAAGAATCCAACTAGTAAGTTTTTGTGACATCCCCAGATGATGCCTTCTAGGAACACTGAAAGCTGCTCTTTCCAGGGGGAAAGGGGTGATGACCCTATGTATTGAAATGACCTGTTTCCAGTGGTGACAGTATAAATTACTTCCAAGGAAAGGGTAAAAGGCCATATACATCTTAGACTGCCCTGGGAACATGGTGGGAGTTTCTCATTTCTTTTATCTTCAGGTGTGAGGACCAGAAGCTGTATTTCTTCCCTCTGCCATATCTAGAACATGAAAAATTACCTGTTTGTCTCAGCTGACATCTGAAGAGCCATCTTGCTGCAGTGACACTTTGAAGTCAGGGCGTCTATTCCAGTTAAATTGTAAAACCAGAGCAGAGACTGAGCTCTTGACATGCCTGTGGGTGGAGTCCCCAAGAAGACCCTAAATAAGATATAAAAAGCAGATTAGACTTCTGAATTTTTCTATTAAGGCCCCAAAATAAATAAGACCCATATACACACTGATTATCAGCATAAACTTTTGATCAGGCATGGCTGATGCACTGGATTTATATGTCCATAACATGCTGCACTTATGCCACTTACAGATGTGTATTTTGGGAAGCTCTTTCTCAGAAACTTCATTCAAAACTGAATTGCAGTCAAATGATTAATTACAGTGTTGGAAATCATAATTAACAGATTACCTGGGGAGATCTACTACTCAAAAGTATATATTCTAATTTTTATTTATTAAAAAGCTCCATTCTTAAAAAACAAAAACCAAATGAAAACCAAACCCAAACCCCAAACAAAACCCAACAACTGAAATTTTAATTTACTAAGGAAAATAAACCATGACATTATGATATATAGATGCATTTATTTTTTGTCTCTACCTTAAAACTTATGTCAATACAGTGACAATGATAATTTCCTGATTCATATACTAGAGGTGTATATAAAGATGTAACAATCCCAGGAACGTTTTAAATAATGATTTTTTTTTTTTTTCCTGGATAACACCCCTCCACCATATTTGGGAAACAGATGAAATATTTACTGTATTACTCCAAACCAAGTTGTATTTGTTTACTTAAAAATGCAAAACATACCTAGCACACAGAAAATATAAATAGAAAATAGAAAATTTAATTTTGGAATTCTGTGCAAACATATAAGTTTATTCTGAAATTTTGAAATTAGAGCTTTCTTATTAATGTGACCTGAATTAAAGAAACGCAATACCTTACCTGCAGAGCTCCAGAAACAGGCAGACAGCTGCTCACGAGGAGAGATTCGAGATGGTCTCATCTGTTTTGCAGTAAAGGTGCCAATGCCCTCGGTGGTCTAGGACTGCACACTCCAGAAGTAGTTACATATATAGGTTTACAGTATATAAAACTGTAATTATACATGACTGTTTTAGAAGAGTTACCTCCTTTGAAATACCTGTTCACTACAAAAAGCATTCTGAAGCACTGAAATATAACAGTGATAATGTTTTAAGAATACTACCCTAAACTTGTTAAAATTCAAATAAGTTATTCAACATAAAAGCCTTTCAGATTTTCTGTAAATTTTCAGTATGTCCACTCTAATCTCTATAAGATAACAGGAATGTTACTGTTTTACTTGAAAGTACCTGTCATTTTTCTGAACCCTGAAGTCAGGATGGAGCTGTGTCCCCTGCTTTGATTTGTCATTTCACAAATCCTTTCTGTCCTTCAGCTTCCCCCTGTAAGAAGAAATACCGTTTTCTATCTCCTTCCTTTTGTCTTGACGACTACAGCTGTAAGCTCATTCATGTAGTAATTGCAGTTCTTACAACACGCAGAAAAGCAAGGCCCTTATTTCAATTCAGAATTTGAATAATGTAGAAATATTACAGATACCCTACATTCTTACGGCCATTCTGGACATTCAGGTTGAAATTCTGAAGCTGAGCATCTCTGAAGATTAGTGGGTTTTCTAAAAAAACAAAAAAACAAAAACAAAACCAAACCAACCTCACCCCAGAAACAGTTCATAACAATTTGAATTTTGGAAATAATAAAGTGACAAATTGGAGGATACTAAAATTTATCACACAAAGTAAAACACTGCAAGTAAATGCGATATCCTGAAAAAAACACCCTGCCCTCTAAACTATTCTAAACAAAGGGGTTTTTTTGAAAACTTTGTAACTGCCTTTTGAGTCTTCAGTCAAAGTTTCCTCCTTATTCATGCAGGCAGTCCCACTGGAACAAGCACTGCATTAAAACTACCACTACAGCAAAAGTTTCTAAAATAAGTAGAATCAGGAAGATCTATTATTTTGGAAGAGCAGTAAAATGTTGTCTAATAGGAAAATACAGTGTTCTGCCCAGAAAGGTTCAAGGGTTGAGTTTGGAAAACTGGACATTAACAAAAAAAACCCAAACCAGAACAGTAAGATTTCCTACTTTTTTTTCCCCCCAATATAAGTGATTTTGTATATTTTATATTTTATTTTAAATAATATATTATTTACTATATTTTAAAAAGCTCATTCCTTTTAAATCTGAAGCTTTTCTGAGTATATTGAAAACAGATGGAAATGAATTGGGGGATTGAGGTAGAAAAAAAGCTTTAATGAAGACCTATTTAAGTATTTAAAGTATTACTTTAAATTATTAAGTCATTTGTCTGAGAAACCACATCTAATAGAAATATAAATAATTATATAATGAACATATAAACCACATTTCCTGAAGTAATTCTGTCTTTCTATATTTCCTGAATTATTTGTATTATGAAATAGTAGTGTGTCGCCATTAATTGATAAGCACTCTGTGCTATAGTTACCGTGTTAATTGCAGCTCTTTAGCTCCTAGTCTCACAGCTCCTCCAGCAGTTTAACAATTGGGATTGATTGCACAGGAACTATTTTTAGAATGAAATGGCAGAAGAGTTTGGAGAGCAGCAGCCATTTTTTTGTATGCTACAGCTGTTTTTGAAAAAAAAAAAAAAAAAAGTTGGATAAAAGTGTACTGAGTTTTCTTTCTGGGTATTTTTTTTAAAATTCTGCTGAAGTTAGAGTTTCCTATTGGATCATTGATCTTGCTTGTACCAAGTTGAAGCTGAGGTCAGTGTTGCATGACAGAGGATGTTGCTCGGTGACGTTCTTCTCAGAAGAGTAGCAGTTTTTCTTTGGGAACAGGACTGGTAAGTAGACAGCGGATGAATTTTGGTGTCTGGTTCTATAGAAGGGCAATCCAGGAGTCAAGTTCATAATTTAAAATACCAGTGATGAAAGGCAAGATTTAAGATTAATTTTGAATGTGTTTTTTCCCAACTCTGAAATGAAGCAGTCTGTTAACTGATCTGTTTAAGGGATTGCAGGTCTGCTTCCAGGAATGCTTTATGATGAGTGAATAAATGGCCGTGATTCACAAGGGTCAGTTGATGCTCAGAAGGTGTGACTGGGAGGAAACACCCATTCACTTAATCCCAGATTGGCTTTTTGTCATCCCTCCTGCTGGCCTGCCCTACACACAGTTCTGCTAGGGTAGATGAGCAAGTGGACAGGATTTTGTTGCTAATCTACTATATGAAATCAGGGCTGTCTTCTTTTGTGAATGTTTGTGTAATAGGAGGCAAGGTTTGTAGGAAAAATAACAAACAGAAATATGTAGAGGAATAACCAGTTTTATAGCTGGAAAAAAAAAAAAAAAGAAAAGGGTAAAATCCTATTTTACCTTTGTGAAGTAGTAATAGTAGAGTTCTATCACCTTCTTCACAATAAATTGTATCAATAGTAGTAATACCTTGACACTCTCTCACAGCACCGCATCAGCAACTTTGAAGCATTTTACTAAGGAGGTGTCTTTGTACCCATTTAACTGTGGAAGTAAATAAATGAATTGGCTGTGGTTACACAGAAGCTTGGCAGAGTTAGGGAGAGAATCTGTGTTTCATGACTTCAGCTGCTTTTCCCTTTTCGATGGCATGCCATAAAGTATTATGGATTTATACACCTATAATGCATTACTACTTCATAGCTGCTAATTCCCCTGGAACAGAGAAATGCACCCCTTTGTAAATGCTGCCAATCTTGTATTCTTCCAGAGAAAATGTACAAAGAATATACTTCAGTTTTCTACAGTAATAGCTTACAATACTGTTTTGCATAAAAAAGATTAACACAGTTTGAATAGTTAGTCTTGTCAGAATATGCTGCAAGAGATTCTCTAGCATGTTTTTGTCACTGAATATATTCCAGTCTTACAAATGGTGAATTTTGGAGATAAATTGGATGATAAATTAGATACATGCATTTTAGATTAATATGATATATATAAAAATATGAAATATGACTATCTTCTCTAGCTTGTTTTACTGTAATCTGTGTTTTTCCTCAAATTACGTGCAACTTCCCCTGGACTTCTCTGTAAGAACCTGAAGAGAGGGATGCAGTAAGGATTCATCATGTAAACACTTTCTAGGCTCACTTCCTTGGGGAATAAATACTGATAAGTACAGATTTCAGATATAGTGAAAATATAGTCTTACACCTTTTGCAAACAGAATATTTAATATCTGAGGCATCTCACTGTAGCATGTTGTCTCATTGCATCTATTGTGATTTCAGGAATCTAAGTAAATGTTAAGCTGTTCCTATTTTATAACGGCTGTGTCCTAACTTCCTTTACGTTTAACAGAGAGACACATCAGTAATATCAGAGAATACTGGGCTACAGATCACTTGGTATTTTTAGGACATTAGCAGTGGAGATACCCCAGAAAATGCACGGACCTGGGCTAATAGGCATGCTGCAAAAGCACTTTATACTGCGTGTGGTCCTGGCCCGAGGTCTGCTAGGCTTTCTGTCACCAGCTCAGCACAAGCTTGATGGAGACAGTCTGATTTTAAAGAGGGAGCTGAGTAGGCATTAGTCTTCATTTTCTACCAGTATAGGAGGCTACTGCTATTCTGGCTGAGAGCTAGCTTTCAAAGCAGCACACAGCGAGTACTTGAAGACATCTATGCCTGAGCTAATCCTGAGTGGTCAGGATTTCCAGATCACTCCAGATAGCCTACCTGCGTAAATGGTAATTTAAGGTATAAAGGCCTCCTTTCCTCCCAGATTTTACACTGGCACTTTGCTGACAGGTGCCTCCTACAGCCGGGGCCATGTGGGAATGGGCGCTGCAGGCAGGGCAGGCTGCGGACTGGAGCAGCTGAGTTCTGTATACACACCCTGACTCTACACCTGGTGGAGCAGCAAACCCGAGCAGTCACGTTGCAGCTGCTCTGCCAGGGCTCATCTGCTAGTCCTGGAGGAGGGAGGTGGTGTGAGGGGACAGTGAGGAACCTCGCTGTTCATGGGTGGAGGGAAGGATAGCTCGGGAATTTGCCTGGGACAAATCCAGGCTTTCGAAAACAAGGGAATCCTTGAACACAGGAGACGTTAGAAGGGGGGATGCTTTTGTGCTGCTTGATAGATAAACCTCTCCAAACAAGGGATGTTGGCATAGAGGCAGAGTACTGAAAACTGTGAAACGAAAATGTTGCTTCCAGTGCAGCAGTGAAACAGAAGACATGCAGGATTCTGATGGAAAAATAAAAAGGAAGCATATAGAAAAAGAAATACGGAGTTATGTAGCTGGCCACTATTACTCCGAATTTTTATGGCTACAATGACTGCTTTTATATGTCCAGAAAAATCTTTTCTAGTATTTTTTTCCTCTTGTATTTAACTGCTTGTTCATCACTGAATCCAAGAGAACATCGTTCTTTCATTTTTATAAGAGGGCAACTTTTGATGGAGGTCTAGATACTTTGTAGTCTCTGTATATACCTCCTTAATCCCGTAATCAGCTGTGCACAGGGTGAACACCGCTTATGTTGACCTTCACTGGCATATATATAGCTAAATACAGTTTTACACAATGAACTTCAAGACACAGCTCATGTCTTAAGTTATACTGTGGCTATGCACATAGTAAAAATACCTGCATGTAGATCTGAAGAAGAGGGCTTCATTTAACCTAACGTGGTCATTGCTATTCCAAGTAACTGTTCTGGCCTAAAGAAAGTTTAATTTACCATTTGTGGGAAAGGAATTACATTTCAGACTTGACCTGGAAGTGGTTTCTGACAGCAGCATTGCCGCTTTTATGCGGCGTTCTTCTGAATTAACTTTGGAAACCGAAACTTTTAATCTAAGGCCTCTCTTCAAAGAAGAGAGCCTTTGAGTAGCACAGGGGCTACTTTGAAAAATGCATTTGGCACATACAGGCTGAAGATGCCAATGCACTAAGCTGAAAGTTGGTGAATGGCTCTGGTGCCTGCCCACACTGCTGCTGGTGACATTAAATGACCAGGCTTTGTAAAAGCTTTGTTACTGTCATCCCATTTTTGAAGAGACGGAGGGAAAATTTCCAGCCTTGTCATTGCTTTACTCAGGAAGGCCATGGCCAGCAGCTGTCATGGAAGTTCTCTGTGGATGTACATAATTTTATTGCTGTACATCCAGAGCAAATTTGGTATGTCTGTTGTATTAAAAAAAAAAAAAAAAAAAAAAAAAAAAAAAAAAAGAAAAGAAAAAATAATTGGGCCAAGTAAGCATAGGTTTTTTTATCACATTTATCTTGGAAACAGTCTCAAAAGAATGGATTGGCTGCATGATCATTATGTTGAGCGGAGGGTTATATGACTTTATCCACTGGGATGCTAAATATATGCATACTTAAATTAGAGAAATTAAGTGTGAAAAACATTGTAACTCTGGAAGAACAGGCATGACTTCGCAGTATTTAAGCGTGTGTCCGTACTGACAGCTTGTTACCTGTTCATTTCCATCCTAGGTCCTCAGTATAGCTGGAATCAGGCTTTCATTGAAATAGTCTTTGAATTGGGAGACTTTGTCACCTCATTTGGTGACATGTATCACCTCAGACAAGTTACCAACACAAATCCCAGAATTTGTTCTAATGCTTATTTTTTTTATTTTTCTTGTGCTTCGTGAAATAAACTGTGGCCATGATAAAGAGGAATGTAATATAGAGGAATGTTGCTCCTGGTACTTCTGTCTTCGCAGAACACAGTGACATCTTGTGGCATTTTTTCCACATGCATCTTAAGTTCAGCTGGTTACAGATGAAAGTCTAAATAAATTCTGGACAACTGTTAATGCATTACTTTTACTTTCATCTGTAATATTAACTCTTTACAAATTTTGTTTTTAAGTACAGGTTTGTTTTAAGTACTTTTTAGTAGTGAAAGAAGACCCAAGCCTTGGTTTCTACCATATTGCAAATATAGGATATTGGAGTTTATCACTTCAGCTTGCTGACATTCACACTGGAAAACTTTCAGCTCCAGGAATGTTCCTGTCCCAGTCTCACCGATAGAAGACTCTGGGATTCAGCATTTCAAATGCTTTACTTAAGTTAGGGTTAGATGGCCAGAATCATCAGGTTGCTTTTGATGGGAATGAAAACAAAACTTTTTATTGTAAGGCGGAGACTTTTATTTTTTTCTATCCTTTTCTTTTTTCTTTTTCTAACCTGAAACTTTTTTTTTTTTTTCTTTTTGCAGACCAAGCAGGATTTAAGCCCCATCCACGATGTTTTTGGGACACTCCCCTGGCATAGCTGTCCTTTGCAAATTGATATTTGGATAAGATCCTAGTTGTCAGCATGAAAGGAAAAACTGCACATTGTGATTGGAAATCTGCACCCCAAAAGAAGCCCTCTCCCTGTGATCGATATAAACACACTTGCATTATTTGCAGAGGATTTGTTTATCTCTATGGAGGGAGGAACACCACCAGTCTTAGGGATTTTTGGCGATACAACATAGGTAAGTTTGCCCCTTCATTTATATGTCAGGATTAAAGAGATTCTGCATCCAGTCATCATGAAATAGAGATACTCTTGTAGTTAACAGATTATTCCTGTTCAAAGTCGCTCTGTCGAAACAATGGATAAACTGCATTTTGTTTACTGGCCAAATGGTGCGTGCTTGTTCCTGTTGCAGATGTCCTAGAAAGTTTAAATTTCAGTTCAGTTCCTTTTTTTTTTTCTTTTTTTTTAATTTTCCCCTTCGACCAGAAATACGGAATCATTTAAAATATTCTAGTTCTAGAAGGGGTATCAAACACATAGCCTTCTTGACTCCTGAACATGGGAATAGTTTATGCATGTAAAAGTGCACAAAGGGAACACAGGAATGCAATACCTATGCACTATCAGATGTGACCCTTTATATTTTTTGAGTTAATGTATGGTGTTCCCTGTTCCATTGTTGTCACTGGAGTAAAACTGATTTGTGCTGGCATTCATGCTCATAGAATAGTTGCATTTTGATGTAAGTAACAGTATAGCATTAACATAAAAGCAATAATGATCAATTTCTGTTACATTTAAGTTTACTAAATAGAAAAATGTACATATTTAATTTGGGGGGAAGTGCCTTAGTCTTCTGAACTAACACAGAGGAAAGATGTTCCTGATATCACAGAGGAAATTCAAAGCTGATCTTTTCACCTTTTCCCTAACATTGATGTGTTGAACGCACTGCTATTTTAACTTCAACTTTGGTTTATAGTGAAAAATGAATGGGAAATGCTGGATTGCTCAGGAGATGGTCCAGAAGAACTGGAAGAACATTCAATGGTGGCTTATAAGGTAGTGGACCAAGATTTATGTTGTCCATACCCTGACAGTTTTTTTTGTATTATCCAAAGAAATGAAATGCCATAGATTATTATATACTGAAATATTATATCCAGAAAATACTTCTATGTCAGTGCAATTCTGGATGTAGCTGTACCAATGTTTTGGAATTATTCTGAATAAAGTAACAGTAGTTTAGCTTTGCACCAGCGTGCAGCTCCCCGCTTTCCACAGTCAATGCTCAGTACATAATAGTAATACAAAATAAAGACCTTGGCAGCACATTCTTTGACTTAGTTGTATAGTTGTAACAGTTGCTCTGAATTCATTTGCATGATAAGCTACAGCATAAAAACATTCACTTAAGAACTTGCATAGAAGAGGGACGGGGGAGTGAAGGCAAATAAGAATTACAGCTTTGCCTGTGAGGGGAAAACAGAATTTAGGCTATCAGGACCTGCAGTGCAATGCAATATTTCTATAAACATGCATAATCTAATGTTACCTGAGCAATGCTTCTGAGAGCTCCAGATCCGCATCCCTTAAACTGTCCCAGATTGACAAGGAAGTGAGTGGTTCTGGAATGCCGTCCCCGTTAAAGTAGCAGGATGTTCATTGGGGTTTCCTACTGGGAGAGGATAAAGAAATGATTAAATGTTGGTGGCTTTTTGTGATTGCCTCTTGAATTGTTCATAGATCATCATATGCATTATCCTTAATTTTATTTTGGTGATGGCAGCCTTTTCATTTAAGAAGCATCTTAAAAATTATTTTTGTGCTATATGCCTACCTGTACATGACAAATATTTTTGAATTTTGCAGGGGACCCTGTATATTTTTGGTGGGATGGTGGATTCTGCTTTCACGCAAACAAAAACTCCTCTCTGGATATATGACATTGGTATGATACACAATAGCCCATCTTTTCCATGGGACATTCAAAGTCCATAGGTACTGCTACTAATAAGAACCAAACTGTTTTCTGCTGCTTTTAACATAGCCTTCCCTAGGCTTTACAAGAAATAATGTGAGCAAAACCATGCATACTTTACCCCCCAAATTAGGCTGTTAAGCTATCAAAGAGTCAGCTCTTACTTTAGGAAGTATTACGGGAAAGTTTTATGTATTTTAAGATCTCAGAATTTCCATTCCTCTCCCCCATAATTTACTATTTGATCATAAAACCCAGTAATTATTATGTATAATATTTAAAGCTTTTTCCTCATGTTACATAAATTTTTAAAACCAAGCTCATTGTTTTATTATGGAAGAAAGTGGATCAGTGAAGTATATCTCATTTTGTATTTTTACCAAAGAAATACATAAGCTGGCAACAGCAATGATGGAAAAGGAAAAAACAAGTATAATTAAATAAGAAGGTGGGAAATTAACATTAGCATTTCATAACAGGGTGTTTTTTTTTTTCCTAAGAACAAACATTTGGGATCTCTTAAATGTGTATTCTAATAAAAGCAGTGCAACATTTGAATTTAATAGCAGTGTCATACGTTATATATTCTCCCTTTGGAAATACTGTGTATAGTAATGGCTGCTTATTCTGATGTCAGATGGAGGAGAGAGAGAGAGTGATTTCTTTTTGAGCTAGTAAATCTTGTGGCAAGACCAAGATTTAAGTTTCCTGGCTTCTTTTGCTACTTCACTATGTAACCTTAAGTCAATCGGGTTTTTTTAATCCTTTCTTTGTTTTCCACCATTTGTCTGAAATACCTGCTGACAGAACAGAGATTCTCAGATAGAAGATGTTTCATAGGAGAAGGCATCTTATTGCTCACAGTACTTACCAGTGAAAATTGGAAACGAGTTATTCAAATGTTGCCTGTATAGTTTTTTCATAGTCATTATTTAAAATCTTTCCTGGCAAGTAAAGTTTTTAGTAATCTAAGCTTGCATGGCTTTCTCATTCTACCTCTGGCATTGGGTATCTGATATTTCCTCTCCTTCATGGTGATTGTAGTGATTTGTGACTGTTATTTGAAGACTACTTTTAAGGGATCTGTGAAAAGGAACAAGAAAAATAAGGCTGTTGTCATAAGATTTACATAATAAGTAAAAGGAGCCATACATCCATCGGTAAATCTGGGTATTCTGCAAGTTCAGAAAATGCTGAAAATCACAGATTATTTCTGCACTGTGAAATTTAGCCTTAGGAAACAGGAAATACAGTATGGTAACTCCATGATTCAGTATCAGATAAGGATACAGAAAAACTATTTAAACTATGTCTCATGTAAGTCTCTTGTTACTGCTGTCTTAGTGGGAAGCAGATTTCTTCATCCTTGTCAGTAGAAAACACCAGGATGAGACTTACTTGAAAATTAGATCTGTAATTTGAAAAATTAATGTTGGAGGAGTGTCCTCTTGTGGTCTGGGATATAAACTGCGCTTTATTAAAACAATCCCCTAGATTCTGCAAGATGGACAGAGTGCCGTAACGTACCAGCAGAGACTGAGGTAAGGAGCCAGGAAGTGGTGAATGTGTGAATCAAATGCCTGTTGCTTTGTTGATTAAACAGATTGCTTTGAAATATGTTCCCCCAAACAGTTCCAATCTCATCTCTTCAGAGACATGTGGCTATACTTTATTTCTTTGCACTTTCAATAACTAAGGCTTTTTCCTTCTTTAAAACAGTGTTTAAAAATACTGCTCTTAAATTTTAAGTGCTATATAAAAAGTTAAGTCCTCTCCTCTACTACTGCTTCTGTTTTTCTGAAATACTTATCAAGAAAACTAATTTTAAATGGAATATTGCAACCATACATGAAGCCTGTGCTGTTAAAAGTAGGGTTGTGAAAACAGATTGGCAGTCACACTAATAAATTTTGAAACGTGAAGTGCTGCAGCATTTTTCATTTCTTCAGTCTGAACACGTGGACTCATCAAGTTACTGCCACTTCTAAATGAAACCTCAGTGGAAGCATTTGTGTCTTGGTCTTATGAGATTGGTTTTATATCACTACATGTAAAGAATGACTCATTTTTGCTACTGAAACTTCATCCTTACAATGTTACTACACTATGAAATTGCACAAAAAAATTGTTAAGATGTGACACGGTCACTGTTGTGGTTACCTGTGTTTGGTGGAGGAGTCAAGAGAGTTTGGGACTGTAGGGTCATTTGTGGGGGAAAAAAAAAAAGTGTTATATGGTTGATTAAATTTTGTTTGTGTGTGTACAATAAATATGATGGAATTATGTATCAACTCCTTATTTACAGGAGTAAATGGTTTCTTGTAATGATCCTAAAATGAATATAGAGAAGGTGGCTCCCCTCTCCCCAAAAATGGGCTGTTTGCAAAGAAACAACCAAAAGAACAACAACAAAACCGGACACTTGCCTTACATTTTGTTTAGCTGGGCCTCCCCAGGTTTGCATCTAGGAGTCTCGGCAGCGCTGAGAACTGCTGTGGACGCAGTGGGAACCACCTGGTTTCCTGCAGAGGGTCTGGGCGTAGCCTAGGACTTGTGGTGGGTCAAATCCACGCCAGGGGAAGCAAGTGAGAGCTACTCTTGGGACTAAAGTTTCCTCAGTGTGGAAAGGCTGCGCTCGATGGTGGAAAGGGCTGCATCCCCCCGCTGTATTCCCAAGAGTTGCCCGCTAAATTTACAGCGTGTGCTGACACTACACCCAGCAGCAGTTGTGAAAGCAGCACTACTGAGGTGAGTGCAGAGAGGGGGAGGCTGCAGGGCTGTGATACTGAGGTGGGCTTAGAAAGGGAAGGTTGCTTGGAGTTGAGAATGGTTTGTATTTGCCTCCGTACAAGCCTTCAGGGGTGGGTTTCTTCTGTATTTTCAAAGAAGTTTAACACAACCCAAAGCCATGGTTTTCATTACTTGGGCATATTCCCAAGATAGACATTGCTACTGGTAGGACTTGTTCTGTTAACAGTTTTTTGTCTTATTATTAAACTGTTTTAGAGCTCGGCACCAACTAACAGAAAAGGTCACAGTGCAGTAGTGTACCATTCCAGCATGTACATCTACGGGGGATACTTTGGCATCAGAGGCATTTCACAGGAATTTTGGACTTTCCATTTTGGTAAATTAAAAATCACGATAAGGTTTTGATCCAGCGTGAGACATTGACTGCTGCAGAAAAGCATGGCTTGCTCTGTTAAGAAAATTCTTATCAACAAAAATGTTCTAAGTTAGTTTTGGCTTCTGTTTGGCAGCATTTAATTATGAATTCTGTCAATTAAATTAATACCCAGCTGAAATGAATGATACTGTATTATAGTGGAAGAAGCTTTGCAATATTTGTCAGTTTTAGAGCTGAAAATCGGGGAGAACATTTTGTTTACTATTCACTAAATTCTTCAAGGATTACCAAAAACTCAGAGGCAGCAGAGACCCTGACTTCATCCTATTAATGCCATCTTTTGAATCTCAAATCTAGAACTGACCATGGGGAGCCAAACCTGACAGGAGATGGTTTTATTAGCATATTCATCACTAATCTGGTGGTTGCAAACCCCATGATTCCCAGAGACTTCCTAAATGGATAGCTTTTGTTATCTGGTGCCCATTCAGTCGCTATTTTGAAATGAATGATGGGTTTATCTCATCCTTCATTCCCTCACAGGGAGAATAAGCACAGACATTAATGAAGGAATGTTTTTGTTGACTGATTTTTCCCTCTTATAGCCAGGAAATTATCTTTCAGTGTCAGAGTTAATGAATTAACAAAGCCGTAGGAAAAACTGCTCTGTAAATAAAATTTCCATGGCATCTGTCATACAGCATCTGACATTTTCATTAAAAGTTTATTTCAAAACTGATTTTTTATATGCACTTTTTCAGTGTCAGAATTTAAGCTGTTAACTTTTATTGTAATAAACTTAGAGCAGAAACCCTTATTCTCCAACAGAATAGTTACTTTGTTCTTGAAATAAATCCCTTCTCAAATACTAAGGTAAATTTAGTACATCTATAACTTAATATTTTGCTTCCAGATACAAGAAAATGGTTGTGTGTTTCCACCCCATCTCACAGTGCTGGCCCCGGACCTCGGCACGGCCATTCAGCAGTGGTTTATCATACAGGCATGTACCTCTTTGGAGGACTGATGGGGCTGAGTGAACAGAAGGACTTATGGAAGTGGGACTTTGTAAGCAGCAGCTGGGCCAACATCAGAACAAGGTAAACTGTACTGTTTTTTACACTGAATTAACAGAGAACGAGAGAATCGATCTTACCATTTGATACTGCATGCAGGCAGAGAGGGAGATGCTGCCCTTTTGGCGACTGTAGGAATTGTTCAGATCAAGACAGAGTGCTGCTGCCATCCCTGGATTCTGGTTGGTTTTGCTTGGGAGAACTGTTCCAGCACGTTGATGCAGCCATCAGCGGTGTAATTGTGATGTCCCAGTGCAGCTGTTCAGCAGTCATTCTTTTGGGTCAAAAGAAAAGTAGGGGCTAAAATCAGCATTAGCTTCTTGTTGGTCTCCCCTTAACTACTCATTTCTCTTACATTTAGCCAAGGACCTCCTCCAGCGGTAGGTCACGCTTCAGTAGTCTTCAAAGACTCTATGCTGATTTTTGGTGGAGGGATTTCAAATTCCAGTCCTACTGATGACCTCTGGAAGTATCATTTCCATACGCAGATGTGGAAGAAGCTTAGTAGTACTACAAAGGCAAACTTTTCTCCTAAAATGTATCACTGCATCTTAGGAGTTGGTGTTGGTTTCCAGAGTACCTCAGATCTCAGCAATAGATTCCCCAACCGCTGGAAGAGCAAGCAGAAGGACCACCACCACCAGCTGGTGACCATCCCGAAGCACACTCACTTTTGCAACTACTTCCGTCAGCAGCCCGCGTACCGAGCCTTCAGCAACGAGGAAAGCCATGCAATTGAAATGAAAACCTTTAGCTTGCCTCCGGAGCCAGGGGGCTTTTGTGCATTTCAAACTGCTTCAGAGGCACAACTAGACGCAAGCGGAGCAACAAGCGTTTTGTCAAAGGACAAGTCTCTCCGTCTGATTGTCTCTTCAGAAGAAGAGACTTTTGCTGCTGCTCAGGTTGTGGGAGGAGAGGAGGGAACCGACTGTCCACACGTGACCGCAGCAGATGAGGTTGGCAGTGGCACCAATATGCTGCTGCTCATTGGGGGTAAACCTTTGTCCAGCTTCTCTGAGATCTCATTCTGGCAAATGGAGTTTGAGAGCTTGTGATCACTTTGACTGCAAAGTGAAAGAATAAATTCCCACCAATGTGCCAGTAGGTGGTAAACCAACTGCTTGCAACTGTCTTCAGTTTCCCATCAGCACACTGGGGGAAAAAAAAAAAAAACACAACCAACCTTCTCTTACTTGCTGTGACTAGATTTTTTTACAATGTGAACAAAACCCAACATATATTTAAGTCACAACTTGCATGTAAGTTGCAATTTTTGAGAGGAGATTGTTGGAATGCTGCTCTTTTTGTTACTTTTTTTTCTGGTCAGTTAATATCCTTTTAAATTGCAGTGGCTGATGCTGCCTTGAACTTCAGAACTACAAGTAATTGCTCAATTTCAGCTGCAAAGCTTGCTCATTTTGCACTGGACTAAGAAATGTACCCATAAAACTGTATTTGAATCAAGTTTGTGCACATTATGGTCACATTTGAGGGATGTGATGAATCTTAATAGCAAGATTTTCTAAGATTTTTAAGATTTTGTTTTCTTGAAAGAGTGTTCTTTGCACAATATATCTGCAACATGAGATGGCCTATAACAAAGAATAAGCTCAACAGACAAAATTAGCAAGTGAAATCTAGAAAATATTCAAGGATTGCATCTAACCTTGAGGAAGTGAAACCATGAGTCTTCCCTGAAACTCCTGTGCATCATTTAGACCAGAGGAAGTGCATTACACCCAGAAGAACAAAATAGTTGCCCAGCAAATACTAGGTTTAATGACTGAGCACAGGATCAAAAGGGTTTGACTTTCTATTGGGCAGGGGGTGGGGGAGAAAAAAAAAAAAAAAAAAGAAGGCTTGACAGGAAAAGCCCAAAATGTAAGCTGTTCTGACCTGTAACTCGGATTTTAGCCTCAAAGGGATTTCTGCTTTTCTGACTCCCTCTCTGTTTTGTCAACATATATAGTATTTGTCATGCATTTAGCCTCTATACTAGTAACTCCTGAGTTCATGTATGGTTTGTTTTCCTTTGTTGAAAATGAAAAGTGCTTTCTTAGAAAGATAATATTATCCAGTGTTTGAAGCATTTATTTCCATAGAAGTTACTAAGATACCGGCCTTCTGACTGAACTTCAGCTGTTTGTAAAAAGAGATGCTGATGTTTGATTTAAATTACACAGAAAGTGTAATTTAATACTTCTGAATATTTGAAAAGATCATTCAAAAGCTTCATGGGAATAACGAATTTTAAGTGAGAGTATTTACACATACTTTCATCTCTTCACAAGTAGCTGTCACATGAATTCAACAGGAAAATTACAAATGAGTTTGCAAAAAGCTACTTAAGAGTTATTTGGACTTTCTGTGACCTTTGGAAACAGAGGATTGTGTGCTGCCATATAAATAAAGCCTGCTGCATTTCACATCAGTGTGTGCTTGTTTTCTGAGCTTTCATGATTTAAAATACTTATATTTTCAAATTGGACAAAGAACTTACCTTTCTGACCAAGGAACACGCTCCTGCAAGCCCCAGTCATCTCAGGGCACTTCGGCCAGCCTTGAGGGATGCCCAGGCTTTGAATCTCTCCTCCAAGCCCCGGGAATTGCCCAATTTGAGGAGGTATGTTCGGAAAGAACTTCGGTACAGCGACTGAGCAGAGCACATACAGAGTACTGCAACCTTAAATCGGCAGCATGTTTTTCTTTTGCTGGCTGACATGTCTGTTTTGGCATTATCCAGGGAGCTGCCGTAACACTTTTATCTAGGATTGACAAGGGAAGGAAATTTAACTGGAAAGGGCAACAATACACAAGTGATTTTCCAAGTCACGCGAAGGCCTCCTGGCAGGTACAGGTATCCTGGGGATGTGCAAGAGCCCCAGGAAAATGCCATCCAGCAGCCTCTGCCATTCCTTTCCTCCCTCCCCCCCAAACCCTCTTCCCTTTGGCAGCCCAACGAAGGGTTTAACATTTACTCGGAGCCAATGCAGGCAGGACACGAGCCAGCCCAAAGGCGATGGCTTGGCACGGGGAGGAAAAAGCAGCTTGCAGAACGTGCCCATCTCCCCCGCTGCCTCCCCGCGCCCGTGCTGGCCTGCCAAGTCAGGTGGCTGCACCAGCGCCTTCGGCACCGCGCCAGCTCCCGCGCCCAAGCCATCCCAAACCCCTTGGAGTGCCCGATGCCGGGGGGGCCCCGCTGCTCCCCAGCCGCCGTACAGGACATGAGGTGTGCAGGACCTCGGGGATGGGCTGTGCCTGGAGTGGTAGACTCAGGGCTTGCTCGCGGGAGGCCGAGCCGCAGCGGAGCCCTGTTAACGCTGCGGAAGAGGAAAGAGCTCCAACCCCGACAGTGGGGCTCTGGGCTGTGACAGGCTCGCTAAAGCCACTGGAGGTTGTTTCTCCCCTTGCTGACCCATTCCCAGGTCTTAAAAAACCAAGAGTGAGCTCAAGGTGGAAGGGAAGGGGTCTGGGTGTAAAGTGGCGCATCCCACAGCTGCTCACCAGCCAGAGTGCCTGGCAACCTCAGTCCCTTCTGGGCACGCATGACCTGTATTTTCAGGTTCTCTCCCAAAAGCAGTATCCAGGGCTGAGGCACACAACCCTTGCTCATACCAGCATACCACATTACCCGGGTCATCTTCCCTTCCAAAACTTAACCAGTGCTATCAACTACACTTAACAGGGGGTCTCGGAGCACCTCACGTGGTTTCACTCCTGTTTTCCTGTCACCTTTTCATCCAACGCAGTCACCTTAGCGCAGAGGAAGAGAAGAGCATTTGTGGATGTGCTTACATTACAGTATTTCTCCATAACTGTGGCAGTTAATGAGAATTCATCCCCGGCGCAAGTGAGTGACTAAAAGCTGCTGCCATCTGAAAGCTCTGTGGTGGCCTGCATGAAATAATGAATGGAATTACTCCAGCTAATGGCAACTATTTAGATACAAAACAAACCACACCATTTTTGGCTGGGCACAGACTGAAAGGGCTGCCACTTGAAGCGAGCCATTTTAAAATGTCTCTGAAAAAAAGGAAAGCTTGCATGCATTTGGAATGCCCACAGTCTAATTCAATCCATAGAATAAAAGCAAAAGGATGTAGCGTACCTTGGTAATCTTGTCTGAGACGCATTGTTGTATCATAAATCACATATACAAGAGACCAAATTGATCAGCCTTAACTACCTCAATGAACTCATTGTCTTTAATTACCATTCAGTCTCTGAACACTGAAATGCATGAATGGCAGAGGGATTTTCTTCTCAAATGTAGACATTTAAAGAGGTGGGTTTTTTTTTTAAAAAAAAAAATCTAAACAATTGTTTTGAGTTAATAACAGATTTGAAGAACAATTCAGTGACTATGAGTGGGACTGTAGTTTGACCTGCACAACAAATTGTGCCACAAGGCTAATTACCTTCTATGAGCTTAAGTCATTAGGCTGGAATTATTTCCCTTCCTTTTGATGCTTTCCCAAGTTTATTAGTTGTTGGGAAATGAAGATGATCAAATGGTTTGGTTGCCCTTTGCTGCCTTCTTAAGCATTTCACCAAAGTCACGGTTTGGAAATAAACAGTTTCCTTTAAACAATCACTAGCAGCACTGTACTTTGAAACATAAAACAATCCCTTACTGGAAGTAAACCCAAGATTGCTCAGTGAACTAGCATGCACTTTTGTCTGCATGTTATGAAATTACACTTGGATTTCAAGCTTCCTTTCTGGGCACACACATCAGTACTTTGACTTTCAGAACCACCAAACACCTGACAGTCCTCCTGGACAATCTCAGCTCTTTTGGAAAGATGACATTTAATTCTTTAGCATCTAGCTGCAAGCTTAGATGACATTTTATGTTATGCTCTGATTGACAACAAATTAAGCTTATAATAAACACAGCATACAGTTTTGACATCCCAAATAAGTTTACAAATCTCTCTCCAACCCAGGTACTCTCCTCCTGCGTTAGAAGCTGCCAAGTGGCGTTAGCACACGCTCCAAAACCCAGGGTCCTGCAGAGAGTTCTTGTGCTGTCAGACAGGCCCCTTGGACCGCGGGTGGATGAGTGCTCAGTGCGGAGCATGAGCTTGCCACGTATCTCTTGCTTTGATTTTGTGGGTGCAACAGCCCTGCGGCCCCCAGCGTGCAGCTCACCTCCCACCTCCCGGCCAACCCCCACCTCTCGCTGCCACACCAGTGTAACACGGCAGAGCTTGAAAGATGACTCTGTGAGACTTCTGCTCTGATGTGGTATATTTACGACAAAACTACAGTAATAAACATTTCAAGACTGGGTTGAGTGGACTACAAATCACAGCTTCTTGTTCCCATGTACAGTTTCAATACAGATCTCAGTGCAGTGCCTAGAACAGTTCATACATCGCTACTCTTGTGAAACAGAAGAGGGTGCACTTTGTTTTATAAAAAAACCAACAAATAAATTATACATTGAGAGCTATTACCGAGCTTTACATATAAAAGGTAAAAATACAGTAGTTAGTGTGGCTTTAACAAAAAAAAAAAAAAAAAAAATCTAACTAAAAAAATATTCTTACGTATTTTAAAAATAAGTTTGTCCAGTTACAGGTAGGGGGCTCTGTGTGTGTGTTTATGAAGGAGAGTGCTCAAGCCAAACAGTAAAAGGGAGGTGAATTTTGTAGGACAACCTTGCGGCTCCCTGCTGCAGGGTCCGCTGTCACCATCAGGACAGGGGCAGCGCCCACTCCCCACTGGCGCACCCAACCCCCCGGGAGGCTGCAGGTGGATCCTGGCTTTCCACAGGCCCTGCGACCGCCCGGGTCTGCCCCTGAGCACTGCCAAGGCAGCGCAGTGCTCCAAGAACCACACCAACTCCACCTCCGTGCAGGCACGGCGGAAGGGCCCTGTGCTTGCGAACGCTTGGACCAAGCGCACACGGACTACACCTGCATCACCCAAAGGCCATCAGCATGGGTTATTTTTATTTTTTGGTATAAGTTATGATTGTCCAGCTGCATTTGAAAGCTGTGACGTTACCATGTCTAACAGAGAGATATATATACACACACTACAACTCCCTAGACTAACAAACACTGTATGTGCCCAGCTAGAGCTTTAAATTCCGGCTGGCCGTGAAATAGAGCTGCTAACACTTAATCTGTAGGAGATTTGAGTTACCAGAATATGTTCACGATGTGAAAAATATATCCAGTGCTGTCTGTGAAGGACATGCTCATCTTAACTCTACATCTTTGCTTCAGGAAACAAGAACGAGCCAGGTGCAAACAAAGGGATAACAGGCAAGGGCTGAAGACAGTTTGTGGAAAGAGACCCAAGTGTAACTGGACTGTTCCTCTAATGGTGCTGTCAGTTCTGTTCAAAAAACCATCCCAAACATGTTTTTTATGCAGCTGTCTTTGACAAAGTACATGTGGAATTTAAGTTTAAAGTTGAATACATTCAAACTAATCCATTAACTGTGACTGATCAGCAGGTAAGTAGTTATTTTATGTCCTATGACTGACCTAATATTAAACCCCATTACCACTGAACTAAAGAGATTCCTTTAATTCAGGTGTAAGGGGAGTTTTTAACACCCATCTCAAAAGCTTGTAGAACCGCTGCCATGTACTCTGCACACGCAGACTCTCTGCTCTCTTTCTCTTGGGCTAAATGGGTGAGACCAAAATGCCATTCTAAGATCCAGCATCTCCCTCAGATTAGTCAGTTTGAAATACAGGCTGGGTTTTTTTTGTTATTATAAATGTTAAGATTTCTATAAAATATTTTACTTTAATCACTTAAGAATGTGACTGGAGTAAAATCACTTTTAGTTTTAGATCCAATCACTTATGGTTTTAGTTTAAGTTATCATTTTTTATTTATAGACTTAAAAAAAGCATCCACCTCTGATCAGCATCACATACACATGCAGCAACAGAGTACACGGCCAGTTAGGGAGGACAGGCTGGGACATGCATTAGTAAGTCACCAGGGGATAACTTTGTTAGGAAAAAAATTTGAACTTTTTTTTTTTTAAATCAGGGAGCTGAATTTTTCCAAACAACTGCAACAGAACATGCATTGATTTATTCCTGCCAACTCTTACAGCTCTGAAGTGGTTGGCCAACATCCCAACATCAGATTCACACAGAAGTTTTATTGTAAATCTCTTTAAATAAATACCCCAAAATAAACTTTTAGAGGCTGACTGGACCTTACAGTCAATCAATCAATAGTATAGCAATGGTAAGAAAATCCCTTTTTCTCAGTAGCACACAGGCATTAATTAACACTTTATAACACAAACCCCAGGAACTATTATACCTATTTGTGTTTGATAAAATGCAGGTGATGAGTAATGCCATGTTACCTGTTAGCCAGTCATGACACAACGTGATACCTATATAGTTTTAAAGCACAATTGTGATGCCAAACTACAGGATGTTCAGATGTGTCTGTTCAGATCACACAACTGTGGTGCCATAGTCTTGCCAGGCTCCCTATATAAACAGTGATTTGGATTAGCTAAATAAGCTACATTGAGTTAAATGGAGTGACTATCTCCTCCAAGTATCTGGTATCACTGAAAAGAGGGGTTTGCAGCACCGAGTCTACTAGAAACTGCAGGTCCCCAATTTAACAGTTGAAAATTCTGAATTTTTAAATAGGTTCAAGCATTAGTCCTCCAACAATTGAGGAAAATCTTTACCCTCTGAAATTTGTGTGTGTGCACATGTGTGTAAATACAACATTCCTCTCGGATCACCACTATCCCAGCCATGCCGAAATAACAGTTGGCTGTTTGGAACCATTTAGATTTTCGAGGGACACACTCACCACACATGTTATTTACTTGTTATCTCCTCTATGTGAGTGCTCAGGAGGAATCTAAGGATGGTATTCAACACGCAGTGCTGTAAAACTGTAAACTTCTGTTATTCTATTTTTGGGAGGGATTCAAGCTAACAGTTCACAGAGCTCCTGAACCCAATGGGAAGAGTCAAATATCAAACATGCCTTACAGAAAACGCTACTGCATTCTGTCTATTTACAAATCCAACACATGTAGCTGGCGAATGCCAGCTCAGCTGCTGAGCAAACAGATCAATAGCTAGTGCCAAGTTTCCCCACACAGTCCTGGCTTTGTGCAGGAAGCAGACTGTTGCAGCCATAGCTTCCCTTTTCCTGCAGGAACTTTGCTGGCAACTGTATTACTAATCCAGACTAAGACATTTGATATTTGAATCTGGAACCTTCTACATTTTAATATGCAATAAGGTTCAGACTTAGAAGTATTAAAAAACACCAATACTCAACTGGAAGTAACAACGACAGAGCTGAACAGTTGGTGGGCAGAAACTCCCCACCTGGTGCAGAAGAGCAGCTCCGGGAGCGGGCAGCCTGCCCAGGCCGGGCTTTAGGCGCTGGCTGGAGGGACTACCCGATACACCTGCCCCCAGTTTTGACTCCTGGTTCTTGAGGCAAGGGCTGCAAATCACTGTCTGCAGAGAGACACTGGTACATTAGTCCTAAGAGCTCTCCATGGCTTCTATGTTTCTCTGTTAAGGCCTCGGGGGTTTAGAGGAGTGGCAGTGGACCACATAAATGTCATGTGGCTTCTTCCTAACATGCTCATTCAGCATCTTGCAAACAAGAGCACAAGAGCAGCAGTAAGGACGCCCTAGTCTGAAAGAAGCAGCCTAGCCGGGCACCAGCTTACCTGCACAACCCACAATGGTTTGGTCCAAATCTTTGTCTACACGGAGAGATGTGCACGCAGCCGGTGTGCAGAAAAGAAGTTGTGCAGCCAACTTTCACATTCAAAATCATTCCTAAGAACCACACGTATATAGATAGCTATAAAGAGCAGCACTAAGTAGAAGATACCCCCCAACCCCAGTCATATGTACAAACCTTCCTAAGAAAGATCCCAGTTGTTTCACCTGTGCTTCCCTGTCAGGAGATGTGGGGCTCATCATCAGGCTTCTGTATCTCTCCTCCCTCTGACCCTGCACTGACCTTTTTCACAGGCTGCATCCCCAGGGTCCCTGTGCTCACCTCTACACATCCACATGGGGATCCTGCCACCCAGGACTCAAATGATCTCTTCAAACTGTACATATTGTATCCTGTACTTCACCTGAACACCAAAAGGCCTTCCACCAACTCTGTGGAATGTGCTCTTGAAGCGCTCCTAGCTTCCTTCTACAAAGAAGTGAACTGTTTATAGGAACTTTTAATCTTTTTTTCTGTTTTCATCTTATTCCTTCTGTTGGTTATTCCACATACAACTATTAGATGACACTTGGAACAGAAATCGAGGTGGTGTTAAGAACTGATCTAGTTGTACCCTCATGCTGCTAACATACCTGTTAAGTACTTCCAAAGCACAGCATCTGGAAACAACACCCTGAAACAGCATGAATGGAAACAAGAAAATTATTTTCCTTCCTAGTCCTATATGATAACAAAACTAACCAATAAGCAGTTCCTGAAGTAAGCTGTACTCATACCTTCACTGCTTCAGCATTTAAAACATACATCTCTCTAGACTAAAATGCAGGTATTTGAGTCATGCAGGAAGTGAAATAATCAGTGTCAAAATGTGGGACCTCTGCTGTAGTCTGCTAATGCTATAAGCTGTTTGGCAGGTTAATTTTCCTTTGCCTGGTTGCAATGAGCAGCTCAAATCCAGTCATTATAGTTGGTCACTGACAGACTAAATTTTCATTCTTTCCAGGTACTGTAACAAGAGGTGCAAGGATTATTGAGGGGTTTAAGGCCAAAAAGGAGGGAATGTGTTGGTAAAACCAACGAAAAACAGAGGGAATAATCACACAGAAGAAAATGTCCTTGGCTGTATCAAAGAGTCATCACTACCGTGAGCCGCCGCACGTAGCGCGGCCACAAGGTGGCCCTGCGCGTCCTCCTCATCCTCCCGACGTGGCTCTGCGGCGGGGAGGGACCGCTCACACCGGCCCCGGGAATTCCCTCAGCACGAGAGGGGCAGCACGGCGTAAGCAAGACTAACCTAGCGTGAGCACAACACAACTAGACTCTGTTCCTCACGTTCAGAACTAGCTCCAGTGTGGTATTTCACTTCTGAGGGAGAAGATCAAACGTGCACGTGGTTTTATATTGTGGTTCAGACTGTAATTCCAGTTAGGTTGCAATAAATTTAGAAGTCTCTTCCTGGATCCTAGCAAGCCAGCTGGCTGTTTGACTCTTGTTCAGCAAGAGTTTGATCCCAAGCAAGTCTTTTGGAAGGATCTCTTGGAGATATATTAGAAGGTTGGAGTTTTTACAAGGTGGGAAGTGCAGAAACTCCTCCTAGAGTTCGGTGGTGAGTAAACACTTCATTCTTATTGTAGCATCCTCAGTAACTGGACTAAAAGGGAAAAAAAAAAAAAGAGGCCCTGTAAATACACTCCTCCAAGAAGATCTGCCGTAATGGATTAAAAAAAGATGAGTATTGTTCCAAAAAGCGTTAGTAGCTGCTTCCCTCGTAATTTAACAAGACCAGCAGACAACTCACAGAAGAGCAAACTGAATCAATTTCTCACAGTGCAGTAACAGCATCATTGCCACCCGCACTGTAACAGGTTCACCGAAAGATCTGACCATTGCTGACACTGTTCTGCCTCACCATCATGGCAGCATGGAATAGCAAGAGGAAAAGTTTCTACAAATTCTGTCCTCTGACCTCCTTACAGCTTGGAAATAACGGGGAGACTGTTTCCCTCCCCCACCAATCCTCTGGCAGGCACTGAAACACTGTAGAGTGATTTCTCAGAAAATTAATCTGTACCATAATTTCAGTCCAGTCCTAAAACATGTTAGTAGATAAGAAACTGAAGTGAAATGATAATTTAAAAGAATTAATTGATTTTATAGGACTTATAATGACAAGTTACCTCCAACTCCAGCTAAATTTGTATGCTTTGTTTCTTTACTTATTTAAATTTTAAAAATGTTTTCTTACCCTTCAAAACATTGTTATATAAAAATACACACACACACCAGGTGCTCTATTTATTTATTTGAGATTTCAAATGCTATAAAGTGAAACAGAACTATAGTTTATAAGCACAGCAAAGCAAGGCACTGTGTCTAAATGACCTCTATAACTTTTTAAGTGGAATTAGTAAGAGCACATACTTCCTTTCCACGCCATACAGACTTCTGAAGTGAGTGCTGAGGTGACCTTACCTTGCAAGGACTTCAGGTATCTGCTGGGATGGTGGCATTCCAGCTGATGGCAACAGAGTCTCCGTGCTGCCTTTCACTGCCTTCATAGCCAAGGTGACATCCTCTCCCAAAGGCCCATTAGAAATCAGTCCAGTCTAAATTGGGGAGAATAAACACAAAACTGAAATAAAAACCAGGACAAGACAAGCTAAGTTTTCAATTTATTTTTTTTAACAGTAAAAACAAAGATTCATCAAGTTTCAGGGTAGATTTTACTAAATGCAAGTTCTTAATGAAATTTTATGGTTTACCCGCACAGTAATGCAGCAAAAATGAAGTATAAATATTATCAGGATATGTATGTCGTTTGATTTACTCCAGCTGAATCAGTTTGCTTTATTTTTGGTCTGGTACATTATTTTATGGGCTTTTAACTTATTACAAATTATTATATTTTACTATTTTACTTGAGCTCCTGTTTCTTAATCATGACAAAAGCTTTCTTTTTTCCTTTTTTTTTTTTTTTGTTGTTAAGGAATGGTCAAATAACTCACTGGCACTATCCACCTTGGTGTTATTGTGGGCTGGGAAGACACCTACAAAAAGCAAACAAATGCTCATTAGAAAGTGTTTGAAGTAGCTGGAAACATTCTCAAAACAATATTGCCTCCCAAAACGATCTCAGATATTTGTCCATCACTAGTCTTTGAACCATGCTAGTGATGAGCTACAGATGATGTCACTTCATACCACAAGGTAAATGGCACCCACACAGCATTCAGCTAATATCCACTCACTCACAGAAACTTTCTGGTAGCAGTTTCAGCATAGCACTCCCTTCCAAAAGGCAACTGAACCTGCTAATTTTTTCTGCTTTGTGGACAAAGTTAACCAAGCGCACTTCTGTGAACAGTTTAAAGGTTCTGCTCCTTCCCTTTCCTTTTGGTGCATGCAATCTAACTCCTTTTTCGCTAGCACAGATTGTAAGAGTGGTTTTATCTATATAAAAGGGTTGATTTCTCTTAAAAGTTTATTTTTCAAGTATTTATTTTACATATATACACACAGTTATATATGTCTGTGTGTATATACACATTTAAGTGTAACTTCTATAGTATTATATAAACGCAAAAGCCCCAGAAGGAGGCTGGCACCTGCAGATGTACTAAAATAAAGAGTACAGGCACAGATACAAGTTAACTCTTCAGGTTCCTTCCATTACAAAGCTGTAGGGCCTAGACCCTAGGCCAGCCACCCTTCAAGCAGGGGGGTATGCATGCAGTGATCCAGGTCAATCACCACTTCACTCTGCTGCAGCAGATCCTAGCCTAGTGGACAGATACTAAAGCCAGGGGAGAGTTTATGAGTAAAAACCACTGTACATGTGAAGGAAGAAGGTTTTGAAATACATTTACCCGAGGTGTGGCTTCTGTAAAATCAATTAGATTCTCTGCCAATGATGTTAAGGAAACGTCCTGGTCATCTGGAGTGCCCTATGGAATAAATCAGTTTTCAGCTGAATCCCCAGTAGTAACCAGACAGGTCTGCTGAATACTCTAGTGGCTTCCCAAGTTACAGACCAGTGTCCTTAATGAACACCACTGCTTATCAGGTCTGTTTTCTCAAATCCTTCCATACGATCTTTTTTTAATAACCTTTTCATTTCACTTATTCTCATCAACATACTAGAAACAATGTTATTGCCAAGTAAAAGCTGTGCAACTGTCCCTTTCTCCTGTGCGAAGACAGGGTACTGTGCCATTCAACAAGGTCAGTGAGGTCTGTGAGCTGAGTATTTGAACTAAGAAGATGAAATTGATAATTATTCAGTGGGATCAACTACACACTAATGGTTTAGAGGGACAACAGATAAAGGGCATGGTGCTTTAGTGATCCAGAATAACCCCTCAGTCTGCTGAAGTAACAGCAGAGTCCAGTGTTGGGCTCTTCTTTTGGAGAGAGACAAAAGAAAGCTGACCCCTGAATTACTATGTGCATTTCTTGGAGTCCAGTTAAAAAATACCTTATCGTTAAGGTAACCAGAATACAACAATCAAAGATTTCAATTTAAACTTTCTGATCTCTGGTTATTTTGACAGGAATTGCCTATGTCAGAATTTCATTCCTGAAGTCTCTTTTTTGGAGCATCAAATCACTGGGATATAAGGGTCTCCCCACTAGCATGAGAAAAATGATCAGATTAGAAAAATAAGTGTCAGGCAAAGAACCTGAAAGAACACTCAGAAATGGCCTTTGGAGAGATCTGTACAGTGTCCTGTCTGCTTCAGAAAGCACTCATTGGCATTCACTGAGGACTGGTATTCATCAAGTTATGAGAGGCATGCAGCAAGGTCTGCTGTGCTTGCCTGGAGGCATCAGTAGCTCAGAACGTGACACACAGAAACCTTCCAGGCTGGGAGGTGGGGATACCTTTGAAACAGCAGCCTCCTCAGCTGGAGCCCGATTAGCTGGAATCAGCAGGTCCTCATGGCTAGAGGCAGCGTTGTCCTCATTTAACACACTACGGAAAGGAGAAAACATTCTCATCAGCACACTGACTGGACAGCATGAAACAGTGCTGCTTCCCTTGTAGCTCAACCCAAAAACTCAACACCAGTTCCATGTGAGGCAGACAAAGGACTGATGTTTACGACTATGTTGAAGTTAATGCCATCCAACTGCCTCCACAGATTACTGCTCTCTTTCATAGTTTCAGCTACAGCTGTGTACAGACCCAACGGTATCTATGTATATATCTCAAAGGAGCTTCTTCAGCCCTTGTTTCTAATTCGCCTGAAGCCTTCCCCCATCATCCTCTTATCTGCCTCCTTAGAGCCAGGGGCAGCAGGATGTGATATTTCAGTCCTTTCAGATGAGAGAGATTTGCTTACTGCTTGCTAGGATATTCACCCTGAGGCCTGGCCTACACTGATTAACTGTTGGAACAGTAATTAAAGATGTATTGGTAAACCTGCTTAGTCTAAATGCTCAGCAACTGTTCCTCCTCTTTTCAGACCTGTTCGTGATAATATCCACGTGATTCCCTTAACCCAGAAACACGTTTCTCCTGAATCACTTACGGAACAAAGGTGTTTGAGGCAAGGATTGCCTTCTGCAGCTCTCTTGGGTCTTGAAATACTGGACTGGTTGCTGGGGGACTACTCTGTGTTTTGCCTGATGGGAAAATGTTCCTGGCATGGAACAACAAAAACCAAAAAACAGGTATAACCTTACAGGGAAAGCTCTTCATGAATCACTTGTTACAGCGTATTTCTGAGATCACTAGATGTAAATTTTATTCAATATTCCCATGTGCTCTTTGAGGTCTGACATGCTTAATCTTCACAAATAGTCAAGAAACTACATGTTTTAACCCTTTGACTTTTTCAATATCTGAAATCCCACTGGAACTAGCAATCATTTGAGATTCAGTAATTCTCAGGAAAACAACTGTCAGTGTCAAGTTTTTGTACACATTTTTTTCTCTATTATAAAACAGCTACTCTAAACAGACCCATCCCCTCTCTCCACACCAAAGTTGTTCACAGATCAGAAATAACTAGTGATTGAAGCTGCTACTGGGACAATGTTTATCGAATTAAAGTATGGGAGAATAAAGAGTATCTGGATTACCTTGTATATAATAAAACCTAGCAACTATTGTGCTTGCTGTTTTTCATTTTAAAAAGACTTTACACCAGGTTAAGGTACCCTATGGAAGGAAAAATGCAACGCTCACTGAGCTGCTAAGACCACGCTGAACTGCACGTTCTCAGTGCTGTTCTTGGGTAACTCGATTACACGTTTCTTCCAAATCTATTCAGTACCTGGCAGCAGCATCCTGAATATTGGAATTCTTGACACCTGTCAGACTGTCTTCTCTTATGATCTGAGAGGAAAAAAGGAACAAAGACATAAATTTCTGATACCTGTTTCCATCCTGTGTCAGTTCTGAGATTCACAGAAGAGCAGGGTGCCTCCCTGCCAGCATAAATGTGTGCTGCTCATCTACTGCTCAGGGACTTAAAACATCAATTCTATGGGAAAACTTTAGTGCAGAAATAAAAACAATTTACTGATGTAGCCAAATAAAATACCATTATTTGCTACAGAATTTACTAGAACATGCTAGAAGCATAGTCTTAGTGACAGAATCGCAGAATAATTTCTTGGTTAGAGGAAAACCTTTGGAGGTTATCTGGCTCAATAACTTCCCAATGTTGTTGGGAAGGTCTTGTTCAGGGCTTCATCCAGTTACATGCTGAGTATCATCAAGGATGGAGATTCCTCCTTGAGGAACCGCTCCTGTACTGCTAGTATTGTGAAGAACAGCTCTCTTACTGTACCTTGGACTTTGGCTCTTGGAGCACCCTTATCTGCAAGGCACCTTCTCCAACACCAGGCAATTGAAGAGAATAAAATGTTCGAGTGCGACACAGTCCTTTAATCAGTTGAGTATTTACCTTGTGCCCTGCTTCTGCCTGGGCCTTCAGGATATTGCTTTTGATATCTGCTGGAAGCCACATTCCTGCTGCGATTGGGCTCTCAATTGCATTGTTAAGACATTTATCTGTCAATTTTACCACTTCATCCTAGACATGAAGAAATCTTTTTTAGAAGCAGTTCCCACATAGAAAAGTCTGGGCTGAAGTTTATTGACATCTCTAAATAACAGCAAGGCTCTGAGTGAGAGGAAAGTCAGCAGATTTATACTGAAATGAAAAAGCAATTTTTTCCTTTATTTTGTAACTCAGTTGTAATGTCACAGCAAAACATAAAGTAAAAAAAGCAGAATGCTTAAAAATGGAGATGCAAAGTGCTGTGCTAAAAATACAGCGTGCAAGAACTGAAGTGAACCCTAAATTTGCAGCCTAGTTTACTGATAGGAGATCAATATAGCAGTCATCACATCATATCAGTATTGCCTAACTATAAGTTGATAATTTACTCTCACATGCAAGTTGGGAAGATTTTTACCTTAAAAACCACTTACATATATAAACAGTTTAATGCACTAGTATTAGCACCATCACTGATTGTATCAGAGCAAACTGGCAGCCAGATACGTAGTGAAGACAATTAAAAATTAGATACCTTTCACTACAGTATATTTCATTATGTGAATTGCATTTCTTAATTATAAAATTTTAATTAAGCATTCAGTCTACTAATTGCTCTTTGATCAGCAACAGAAGTTAATTAACTGAGTGGAGGCTAAACCTTGTGACCTTTCCTCTCGGGGTATGACTCAGCAGGGGGAGACAGAGCCCCGCTTTCCTCACCACATGCCACCCTGGCTGGCAAGGCAGGCTCTCTCTCCTGGAGGCAAGTGCCACATTCCTGCAAGCTCCGGAGCAGGAACAGTCCTGCTGCGCGAACTGCGGAGTGTCCAGGAGGAGCGAAGCCCATCGCACAGAGAGAGAGCAGGGCAGAGAAATTAAAAGAGGTGAATACGTGCCTCCCCCCGCAGCAATCCATCCACTTTTAGCCTTTTTGTTCACTGGAAATGCTAGTGAGAATCTTCTATGTATTTGGTCTTCTGAGAGGCGAAAAAACACCTGATTTTCTTGTCTCTCTCTGAATCAAATTTCAGGGTATCCAAATAGGAGCTCACAAGACTTTATAAAGGAGAACCCATTTTAAAATTTTGACCCCAGTCAGCAATGAACTTTGCAAAATATTTAAGGGTCACTGTCAACATAAAAAGGTATGAGGACCAACAACCAGTAATGCCAAAGAATGTTGCTAGGAGGTATTAAGAGATGCACATTCACATAATTAATGAAGACTTAACAAAACAATTAATTATTAAACATTGGTTTTTATTTTAGAGAAGCTGCTGGAATAATTAGAACTGAATTATTATTATTATTATCATCATTTGTACAGTCGGAGTACCCAACTGTGATAATCCTTAAATTCTTACACTGGAGGACCTCACTGAACCAGTTGCTATATATTAACAGTCCCTGTACAGAATTTCTAATGCATTATTCTAGTACCAGTGATATAGTAAATTCGATTATTTTAACTGAGCACATCAGTACACTGGTATTTTAAGCACCATTTTGTGGTTTACCTTTCTCTTAGCTTCCTCCACCTGAACAACCAGTTTAATTAGGTCACTAGTCTATTAGCAGTTAAGATTCCCAACTTTTGAAAAGTTTACATTAAAATATTTCTTAATAGTACTAATCAAGTATAAGTTCTACACCACCAAGGAAATACTTCCATCAATATTACAGATAGATTTTTCTCAATCCTTTCTATTTTGTGTTTGAAAAAAGCACTGGTGTTTTACTGTTTTTTTTAATGAAAAGAGCATGTAGCCAGAGGGGAAAGCATCTGGCACCTGATAATGCCTCCAGATGTCTAATTTACATGACATTTCAGTTGTTCGCATAAAACCATAAAGCTGCTGGGGTTTGTCAATACTCTAGCTTGTTACCAATTTTTACTGTTTCCATGTACTAGACAGACTATATTTGTACTCTATTCTTCAATCAAAACATGGAGCTAGGCAGTAATGTAAAAAGTAAGAAAATACTCAAGGCAGCAGCAGGGCATGCAATGCCAATCCCCTGTGCTTTTGAGCAGCATTCTTGGTGCCACTGAAAATCACTTTGTGCAGCCAGAGATGAAGTCTAATACAGGCACATTTTGGAGCAGCTTCCACATGTTTACAGATCACAATGAATTCAGAAAAAAAACCAACCCTCACGTCCTTGGATTTCTGACTCTGAAGCAGACTTCGAACATGGGCAAACAGGGTGAACTTTTTATTGTTCATTTCACTTCAGAAGCTGATGAAAGCAGAGTGCTGGTGTATTTAAGAGCTATTTGCTCTCTTGTGTCAGATCTGGTCACTACACTAGTGAAAGCTGGGAAAGGACAAAGTCGCATTCTTCCATCCTAACAGATTTTGGCAGGGAGCAGTGGTGAAGAATGAAGTCATTCATTTCCCCCTTCCCAGTTCTCATTCTAGAAAGATTTCTCTTTTTCTCTAAAAGAACACAGATAGCTAGGTAAATATTTCCCTATGAAAGAAATCAATCAAGATTGATTGATTGCAAGGATAGAATTACATAAAGATGGCTGTCAGGCCATCTCTGATCCCTGATGGAAAACAGGTAAAGATTTTTAATTAACAAAGCTGAAATGAGTAGTTCATTGGCATTTGACAGTGTCACTTAGGAAGTTCAGGATGCAGCTCTGCCTTCATAAGCAGAAAGCTAACCCTTTCCCCCAGAGCATTTTACCAAACCCTTTATGTGCTCTAACTGTTTCTACACAGGTATGTATCTTACACACTGGTAAAACTTAAGAGAGATGAGACATGCTGAAATTGTAATCACACCCTTTCAGAGATAACACTGCAACACTGATGTAAAGTAACTGCAAGTTCTAGGATCTGAACTCATTGCAAGGTTTTAGTGGATATATTGCAATACTGCAGTCTTCCGTCAGAAGATGATGCCATAAACACATTTTTAAAAATAGTTTAAGAAGGGAAGTGCTGGAGGAGAACCAATAATTACATTTTGTAACAAACATCATACGTGGAAATTTCTGTTTTTTCAAAAGCAGGAAACAAAAGTGCTTTTTATAGTTACTCTTAGGTCGCTATTTTCGGGACTCATTTCCAGACCACCAACTTACATCTCTAATCAGAACTGGGTGTGCTCATTTGGTGCTACCGTAACCTATGCATCTTTGCAATTTGAAGCATACAGAATTTAAAGTATACAGAGACAATCTCTAATCTTTGTCTACCTTTTTAAACAAACACTCTTAAGTGACCTCTTGGTAAGCTACATCACAGGCTGAGAAGCTTTATTCAATCTTTTCTACCTGAGGGGAAAACCACTCACAATATACTCATGTTTTCATAATACAATTTGCACTTCTTTCTTGAAAGCTGAAGTCTCTTTTACCCAAGGAAAGAATCACATTGGCGTACTGTTGATCCACACATCACATATATGTATCAGTTACGCTAATGTTCTTGCTCTCTAATCAGGTTACTATCACCCCAGTACGTGTAACCTCTAACATCCAAAGTTACTCGGTGCCTCATATGACAGCGGCTGGATAACTGTGACTGTACTGTATTGGCGGCTGTTTGTTAGATTAACTCATTACAGGAGTCTTATCTTTCTTACTATATATTAGCCATGATTTAAAAACCACTAATATGCTTTTGCTCCATTCTATCCATTTAATCAATTAAATGTTTTTCCCTCCCCCTGTCTGAACTAAAATGCAGCTCAACAGGCAAAAATATTCTGAAATAAACTGTGTTCATTTGCTTTAGTCTATGCAGAGGCAGTGTTTCAGCACAACAGAACCTATGGGCTACTGACTAATCTTCTTAGAGACTTGGTAATCTTTGTAATGCACTCACCCAGCAGAGAGGTGCACAAGGCATCCCTGACAACAGCCCTTAAAGGGGACATGAGCCAAAGAGCCTCACCACCAAGCATACCAAAGCAGCAGCCTTCTCTCACATGGAGCAGGCGAACCAATACTCAGGAATGGGCTTAGCCCAAACACCAAACACTTCTCTTGGCATCAAGTTCATTCTACTCTTGAGGAAGAAAGAAAAATATCATAGCTGCTTCAGTGAAAGTTAGATAAATGGTCAGGCCTCCCTGCAAGGGAGGGTAGCATAGAGATAACACTGCCAGGTGTTTGACACTCTCTGCTTTTTCAAAATGCAATAAAGCACCTAAAGCTTTAACACCAGGAGAAGGAGAGTAAGGGAAATCTAAGTTCTATATTGTTGTTTAAAGCTCATTAAAAATAGAAGAATATCCTGCATGGTGCAGTTGTCTGATAACCAGTGAATCTATGAAAGTTCACTCTTGCTGTATGGGAGCATCCTGTACTCTCCATCTCTTCTGGCATCAGTACTTATTTTCTGTACGGCTCTGGCATTTCTTTGACCCCTTCCATGAACCTATTTTACCCACTATTTAGCAACTTAAATAACAAAACCAACCCCCCAAAAAACCCAACACCTTAACAAAAATTTCAAGACAAAAAGGGCAAAAAATTTTTTGTTTGCTGTTTTGTATGCTACATTGGTTCACTGAAACATGCAGTGATTCCTGGAGGTGACAGAGAAGAGGGAAGCCAGGGAAGGATGAGCAAAGATGAGCGAGGTAAAAGAGACCCTCACCCTGTTCAGGGCACTAAAGCTTGTACTTTGGCTCAGCTGCCTGCAGAAATGCAACCTGACTTGCTCGAAGAGATTTAGGAGAGCCCTAAATCAAACCACATCACTTCTCTCTATGTAAACACTCAGAGCACTAACACCTACTTCAGAGAGCACTTAAAAACTGGTTACTTAACAGGAGGGACGGATCACCAGCAAACTTGACTCAAAACAAAATGTCAAAACAACATTCTGGGAGGGTTACCAAAGGCAACTGAAAAACACCAGGAAAGCAGCTCACTCCCACAAAAAAGAGAATGAACTACACAACACCATACAGTTAGTAACCTACAGATAAAAACAACTGAGGGACATTTCAAGCATTTATGACTCTTATTCCCATTGATTTCTGAAAATTTCAACAGGCTGCAGTCTGCGTACATGCACATGCACCTCTGCCCCCATCTTTATCTCACTGCCCTGTCACACACAGGTTTATAGATAACACAGCATTTGTATTTCATTTACTATTCCCCAATATTACTCACTCATATTCTTAAAAATCTGGCAAACAGCCCAAGGTAAGTGGAAGACTTTTCAGAATTATCTGAACAAAACTCAGCCAGGAGGAATGAAGCCCAAGTACCTGTACATTTATGTTTATGTTGGGACCCTCAGTTGACATGGGGCTGCTGCACTCTGTTTCCAGCTGTTTCAGCTTTAGGAATGTGTCTTCAAATGCTGAAAAAGACAGAAAAGATATATCATCTTCCTAATGTCACTGTGGAGTTACTTGACTTGCAACATTCATTCTTCCTGAACACTAATTATATGGTTTTAAAGCTGTAGAAAAAGCAGAGGGATAGGTGAAACTACTTGCTCAACCTTCAATGCAACCTTCAAGCCTCCAGATTGAATGTACCTAATTACAACACTGCGGTCCTCACAGGGGAGCAAGCAGCGAGAGTTAATTGCTCAGATGGCTGCACTTCACTGTATTTGTGGCTAAAGTGACATCCCATGAAGAACTGTGACTTTTCCCTTGTACCCCTGTCCTTGGAAATATGCTGCTTCCAGCTGAAAGGGGGAGAGTTGATCGACTTGTCCCCATGATGGGCAAAACTGTCCTTATGCATATAATCTAAGGGAGCTTTCTAAAACACTTCTCAATTTTTATAAGGAAACAACGCCATAACAACATGATCACTTAACTTGGTCCCCCCACATGATCACAGCAGGGAAAAATCTGCAAGTTTACTTACGGTCAGAGCCTGCTTTTTCAGCAACAGTTTCCTTTGTGCCAGGATGAGGGCAACTAACAGTCTCTTCTGAATCTCCTGTTGCCAAGCCAACAACTTGACGGCCTATGGCATCATCAACACAAGTTTCTGGCAACTCTGCGCTGTCTAGCAAATCAACAAGAGGTATGCTGCAAAGGCAGAAAGATGGGCAGAGAATCATGTTAGCACTCTTCTTGTAACAAGAAAAAACTTCAACACACACACACACACACTCTTTTTTCAAGCTGTCTTCTGATAACCAGACACATTCTGTAAAAACTGTTTCAGGTAACTAGTAGACATTGGCTTTCAATGAGTTTGAGGGGCAAAAGAAAAAAAACCCACACATTCCATGCCTGCAGAAGTGACTTTATCACAGAACAGGTCCACATTGCCTGCTGCTTCATCACTTAGTAGTGGAAAAAATGAACAGAGAAGAAGGGAAGTTTTTATCCATTAAATACACTTTTTTGGAACAAACGTCTGAAGCTTTTCTAACAAACTCAAGATACACTTTAGGTTTTTTACAGAAGAAAAAGAAAAGTCAGGAGGAGGGAATTTGGTACTGTTCACAAAAAGCCATCTGTACAGCACTTCACCCAACACTTACAAGCAGAACAGAGGGCAGAAGGGCAAGCTGCACAGGCCTGCACTGACATGACATTATGGTTAGGCATACCTGTAACTAGTTTCAGTTTTATTAACTTAGGCAGAGACATGAGTGAAACCTTAGCAGTCACAACATTTTAAGTGAACCACAGCATGTACTCTGTACACTGTTAAGATTACTTGATTCACATCCTTTGCTTTCTAATGAAAAATTGTCCTACCATCTGTATTTAGAAGGAAAACAGAGAAACAATTACAAAACCAGAAGTTATATTATAATGGTTATGTTGTGCAAACAGGAATCTCACCCGTCTCTTCAAAGTTCAGGAACAGCTAAAGCTATCCTAACAGCAAACTGCAATAACTACTAAGAAACTAAGAAACAATTGCTGCAGAACACAATGGTTAATCAGACAATCTGCACACAAAACTGCAGTTTGATTATCGTCCATCTCCATCAACAATCACACAGTGTTGTTTTTCTTAAACCAATATTGCCATCTATCACTTGTGAAAGTCCTGTCCCAAATATGAGAACAACGATACCAAGCAAGTACCCACCACAACAGAACTTACCCTTATGCAAGAACAGAGATGCTTCCTACTCGACAGTTTAGACCAGCTTCTCCATACTGCTACTGGGTTAATGCCCCTTGCCTCCCTCCAGCCCAAACATCCAAAAGAATCCTTCCAATGGTAAATATATACCTCTGAAATGCATCACTGGTTTAGTGATAATAATGTAATCACCTTAATACAATTAATTGCTGTGAGGCAAACTGAGGTCACTTGCTTGATTCTCTCAAAGAAGCAGAGTAAGACGCTACTAGCAAATAATAGGAAACATTTCAACCTACTGTAGAGCCTCTCTGTGTATCACTAATGGGAAATGGCAAGCAGTAGGTAGTCTTGCAAAGAAGGAGTGACGGATACAGAGAATTTCAATTATTAGAAGTAACAGGCAGGAATAGATCATCTTCCAATTAAGGCAACAAAGAAGGTGAGACTTAAACCTGTACCTTACTATCAGAGGATGCCTATGCCTGAGAGTGAAAATGTTTGATAGTCTTCACATGAAGCCAACACTCCCCTTCCTATTTTCTGACAGTTTTCTGTAAATAGCTTCCCAAATATTTAATATGACAACCAATATAGGAAGTTCAGATTTTTCCTGCAGCACAGAGAGGTGCTGATGCCATGACACGTTGAAGGAACTAGGTATAAGCTCCTATGAACTCCACATAAAAGAGGTGATGTAGAGCACCAGTAATGCTTCTTTGCACTGAATCTTCTAATAGTTTTCTTAGCGTTGCAGCACAGTGGAGAGAAAATGAGTGAAAAATGAAATTTATCTTCATTAGAGGACTGCAAGGATAATTACACTAGCCTTTTTTACCCCCTATGACAATTGCAGTAACATTTACTAGATAGACGAGAGAGTTGATACAAAAACCTGCCTGCTAGAGATAAGGGCAGTCTTGAAATCTGATAGCATACCGAAATAGTGTTGCTCCCAATGTAAGTCTACTACTTACATTAAGGTGATAAAAGTTTGTAGAAAACCTGATTGCCATTGGTGCCACGGGATGGAGGACTGGCTGAGGTAGCAAGGACAACCCTGCAGCTTCACCCAGGCCTGAATCACAGCAAGGTCTCAGGAAACAAAATTAATTTTAGGCAGACTCAAGAGAAGCCTCCTAAGTTAAGACTCAAGTAGGAATTGACCCCATTTTGCCTTCAGACCCACTGAAACACCTACTCAGACATCCTGAGATAGGCAGTCACGAGAGGAAAGTTATATTAAAGAGACCCTCAACAGGCACAAAAGACGAGTTCCCCTAAGAGCATTAAACTGTTCAAGGCCACCCAAATTCTTCACCCTTATCAGAGCACCAGCAGGAAGTCTACCATGCAAGCTTCACAAACGGCCAGACTACGGAATTAAAAAGCACAAGATACTATTTTCATCACTGCACAAAATTTCTGATTTCTTTTACAAAGCACTGATGAACTCTCACACCAATCATGAGGGAAATAATAAAAGGCTTTCCAGGAAAATTAGGACTTCTGTGACAGTCAGTGTGCAGTACTCAAGAATAAAATGTGCATTAGCTTTCCATGTTAGTGTATTTACCCACATACAAAGGGATATTTGAACTTAGCATAATAGTAAGTATCAGGTTTTATGTCTTCAGAATCAACTTCTATCAGCATATTTTAATAAATACTCAGGAAAAAGCTGATAAATGATACCAGGAGTTCAAGCCGTACAAATAATTATGAATATAGGAATAATCAAAGCGCTTTTGCACATGGAAAGGTTTGTCAACCCATTAATAAACCACACAGAGGTTGCTACATCCTCAGAGAACTCTCACAGTTATGCCAGTTAACTACTGCATTATTTCTTCTTTTTGCCTGACAAATATACTGATATTAGTATGTACCATACAGCATACAATGCATAACATGCCTGAGAAAGCTGTCAGTTACAAAGGGTATGATTTTTTTTTTAATTTCCTAGTTGAAAAGCAAAACAATACTTCATTCTAGTTTGTGAAATATAATCTGCAAAACACAGTAACTATTCAAGTCTGCTGCAAAAGAGAATTATTTTGCAAGTAATTTGACTTGATACAGCATGGAGCATCACACAAGCTAATTTATTTTTTCAAACTTTTAGTGACACAGAATAGTTTCTCACACTGACTCTGCAAAGTAGTAGAACAGTATGAAATTCTGTTCATTTCCTTTATTTTGGGGCATTCAATGTTGTACCTGAAGGTAAGAACAGTAGTAAATTTAAGCCTGTCACCTTTTCATGTTTGTTTGTTTGTTTTTTCCTAAACAAAACCACAAAATATTCCAGAAAAAAGAACTTCCTTTTCCTTTTAAAGTGAAGAAATCTAAAGAAAAAATCCTGGGGATGTATGATCCTACAAATGGAGATGGTTCACGCACATTCAGTTTCTAATTAAGAAGGCCGAGTCCTCACATTCCAAGACTTCTGCTGTCTCCCATTTGTTTGAAGATAATTTCAAATTACATAGTGTAATACATGCAAGTCAACAACTACAGGAAAGGAAAAAAAACACCCTTAGGAAAAGGTGCTGGCTGCAGACCCTTTGTGGATATTAAGCAAAGATCTGTCACCACCATGCTGTTTAGAAAGACATCCATGTGTTTCCTCAATGCTATTCCTAGAACACGTGACCTGTTCCTGCAAAAAGGCAGCTAGATGTTACTGGTACTAGTATGGTACAATTTCTTCATCTGTATTGAGAGCTGTCACTTACCCTGGTGGAAACCAGCACAATAATTTTCCTTAAGTCAATGAAGTCACACTAAAATAAGCCCAGCACAGAGCAAAATCGGCCCTTAGGATGTATGCAAGATCCAAAGCCACATGGCAAAAGCATGCAACATATACTACACTGAAACAAATCAATTCTAAAGGTAGATGGATTTCAGGCAACCGGGATTGCTTCCTCTATCCTGAATTTGAACTAGTTCTGCTGTCAGGCGAAAAGAATCTACTACAAAAACTTTAGCCACAGGTTTAATTACCAAACTTGCAGTTAATCCCAGGGCAGTTCTGTGACAGCTGGGAGGCTGCAGGCACCTGGGACACCCAGCCCTCTACTCGGCACTGGTGAGACACCCCTGGGGTGCTGTGCCCAGCTCTGGGCTCCCCAGGACAAGAGAGACATGGACATAGTGGAAGGAGTGCAGCAAATGGCCACGAAGATGATAAAGGATCTGGAGCATCTGACACAGGAGAAGAGGCTGAGTAAGATGGGACTTTTCAGCCTGGAGAAGAGAAAACTCAGGAGAGGCTCGTAAAAACCTGGTGGGGGAAGTAAAGACAACAGCCAGGCTCTTCTCAAGGGAGCACAGAGACAGGAGAAGAGGCAATGAGCACAAAATGACATACAGGAGATTCCACTTGCCACTACATAAGTGCACCTGAACTTAAAACTCTGCAGTAAAACAGTGACTTGTTATTGCAACAATGGTCTTGCATTTTAAATACAAAACTGTCCCAAATTCCTCCACTCAAATGAGTGGTTTCTTCTCCCTCATCTACACAGAAGATACACAGTATTTTTCAAGGTGAAACACCTGTTTTCATCTGTATATTCTTATGCAACTTTATAAATACTAAAAAACAAATAGGTTTGCTTCACTTCAGATGCTGACAACATTCACCTTGCAAAATCTAAAACTAAAAATAGCACAACAGATTGATCTAATCACCTCTGTAGATCCCAAAGATCTTTAACACGTAGCTTGCACTTATTTTTTTCCAGCAGAGTTGTAAAATAGACACTCATATTCCATTAGCAACCTCTTTCCCCCTGTCAGATGCAAGGGTGAGGAAGCCAAAATATCTCAGGCAATATTAAGTTTTGTCCTGGCTAAGGCTTTCTTGGTTCTTCAGGGCTGGATATCTGAAACATTGTTTTTATATTTCTGGGCTCTGTGGCAATTTAAAACTTATTCAAACAATTTGAAAAAGCATTCAAAGAGCTTTATCCTA